GATAAGAGCTTCACTTGTGAGGCTTGCAGAACAGATAGCTCCGTGGCACTGCAGGTATCAGAAACCAAACTTGTTTGTTAATGGGATGTAATATAGCCAGCCTGAAATGTTTTAAAAATGAAATTCTGCTCACTTGTTTTCAGCTGTCCTTAAAGTTTCAGCATATCACATTAAGGAGGCTGAGAACTTCATGGAATCATAGAAACGGTTTGGGTTGGAAGGAACCTTTAAGATCACCCAGTTCCAACTCCCTGCTATAGGCAGGGACACCTCCCTCTAGACTATGTTGCTCACAGCCCCATACAACCTGGCCCTCCTTATCAGACCAGACGAGTAGGTGCCCCTTTCATATTTTAAGGCAAAGTTGGGATGAAAGTCTTTTCCATCTGTAATGAAACACCACACAGATGAAATAAAGTGGAGTGCAGCTTGAAAACTACCAAATGTATATACACTTTGGAAAGATGATAGTGTATGTATTGTAGAGGAATTACTGCTAATGGCATTTTGTCTTGTAGGAAAAGCTATAATACTTCATCACGTTCTGAAAAGGCTTTTCATGTCTTGCTCTAGGTTTCTGGGCTCACTGGGATCCATCGTTATAAAATGCAAAGATCTGCGAATTATTCAGCTGGATATTCCTGGAATGGAGGAGTGTCTGAACATTGCTAGCTCTATTGAGGTAAGAATTTATAATGGTAAGCATGGATTTTCAGACTTCTGCTTTAGCTCTTCTCAAATAAGTGGGTAAATGTCATGTAGGATGTGTCCTATTCCTTATTGTGCTGTTAAATATCATGGCTTGCACAAGGGTTACTATGCAGGCAAACCCCCCATTGTGGTTAGATGATTATCAGCTTTCTTGTGATACTTGGCTATATGACTGCTAAACTACCCTTCAGGTGACTGTATTTCAAGCTTGGTAGCTGTATACTTTTGGATCACTTAAGTTTCTTAAGCTTTCATCACCAGTATTAGAGAAAGACAATACAGCAAGTGATGTTTTAGAGGAAAATGTTTGAATCTTAGCCACGTGTTTATTTTTCTCACCCACACAGGCACTTTCTACATTGGATTCTGTCACTCTTATGTACCCATTCTTCTACCGGCCCATGTTTGAAATTGTTGAAGATGGATGGAGTGCTTTTCTGCCCGAGAAAGAGTTTGAAGTCCTCAATTCAGTGGTAAGTTGAGTGTAAAGATTTGCACAGGCACTCGGGTATACTTGTGCAAGTAGTTCTTGAATACAGCTTGGAGAAGAGAAAGCTCTGGGGGAAACCTCATTGTGGCCTTCCAGTACTTGAAGGGAGCATATAAACAGGAGGGGGAACGGCTGTTTGTGAGGGTGGATATTGATAGGACAAGGGGGAATGGTCTTAAACTGAGACAAGGGAGGTTTAGGTTGGATATGAGGAGCAAGTGTTTCAGCCAGAGGGTGGTGAGGCACTGGAACAGGTTGCCCAAGGAGGCTGTGGATGCCCCATCCCTGCAGGCATTCAAGGTCAGGCTGGATGTGGCTCTGGGCAGCCTGGTCTGCTGGTTGGCGACCCTGCACATAGCAGGGGGTTGGAATGAGATGAGCAGTGTGGTCCTTTTCAACCCAGGCCATTCTGTGATTCTATGAAGAGTTTTCCTCCTATAATGTCTGGTCTGAAAATCTGTTGATAGCTGTCCAGTGCCTGGATAGGAAAGGAGCGTTGTTCAAGTATTCTCTCTGAATATCAGGCATTTCTGTTTCTGCTAAATATTACCATCTGGTGTACAGATGTCATTGTACAAATGGAGTTCTGAGGCCCATGTAATGCTGCCTGGGAAGACAAACATCTTCTGTCCTTTGGAGATGGAGATTCAGGATCTCTGGCATGGATTTGCTCGAGTTAGTTTTGCATCTAGAGAAGGGTGAATCTTTGTCAACCTCTTAACTGAAACAAGACATCTTTAAACAAAGAAATCTATGAAAAAATCTTTAAAAATTAGTAGAAATTTCATAGCTTGGAGGGTGACATATTGATGCCCAATTCCAAATACTCTCTGCTCTAGCTTATGCTGGGGAAATACTGGGAAGGTTCAGAGGAGAGGATTTCTAGTTGTGTTCTTCCAGGTGCCGTGCAGACATGTTGACGTTATTTTGGTACCTGAGGAGTAGCAACTGTTCACAGAATCCCTGAATATTCCAAGTTGGAAGGAACCTCAAGGATCATGAAGCTCCAACCCCACCACCACATGCAGGGCCACCAACCTCCACATTTAATAGCAGACCAGGCTTCCCAGGGCCCCATCCAACCTGGCCTTGAACACCTCCAGGGATGGACGGGGCATCCACAGCCTCTCTAGGCAGCTGTTCCAGCACCTCACCACTCTCATAGCAAAGAACTTCCCCCTGACATCCAACCTCAATCTTCCCTTCCTCAACTTCAAACCATTTTCCTTTGTCCTGCTGTTATCTCCCCTTTCCAAGAGTTGATTCCCCTCCTGTCTGTAGGCTCCATTTAGGTACTGAAAGGCTGCAATGAGGTCACTCACAGCCTTCTTTTCTCCAGGCTGAACAAGCCCAGCTCCCTCAGCCTGTCTTTGTAGGGGATGTGCTCCAGCCCTCAATTGTTCTTGTGGAATTTCATGTTGGATCTCTTCATTTTAGGATGCTGAATTTGATGGAGTGGGCTGGACCCTGTCTGTTTTAACAGTGCCTTGGGTTAGCCTCTCTGCTCCAAGTCTGTTTCACATTGTGTGCTTGCTGCATCATCTTGGCTTTCTGAGCCTACATCCATTAGCACAACATCAAAGAATATTGATTTTTTTTATCTGCAGTCCAGCCTGTCTGCAGGATTTGTTGTTTCCTGTTTGAGTAATAACTGGATCTGATTAGCTTGGCTGGATTCCTATGGTGAGATCACTAGGAAATTAAGGGAGTTCAGGGATCTTTCTTTTTTTGTCTCATAATTAGAGTACTCTCACTTGTCCTAGCTTTACCTACAGAAGTCATGCAAGCTGATCTGTTACAATAACAGCACCACACCTTTTGTTTTAATTGCAGTTGGGTGAGTCAAGCATATAATCAGAGCACTCTCCTGTTTGGAGGCAAAGAAGCAGATGTGTGCCCAGCTCAGCAGAGGAAATGTGCAGGCATTTCAGTGGAAATCAAAAGGAAGGGAACAGAAGCGGGTCCTGTGTGATGGGAGGACGTGTGAGAGCAGGAAGGCAGCAGCAGGAGATCTCAGAGCTCAGTGAGAGGATGCAGGAGGTGCTTTCCTTTTTCTGAGTATTTGAAAACCTTTTTAGATTTCAGGCATTGGCTCACTGCTGACTTCTGAATGTACCAGCACAGAGATGCAGCTGCTAACACACATCTATTGGTATACTGTTTTTTTCTTACAGAGAGGTAAAAGTGCCTTGATAACTTCTTCGTGGATCTCTCAGCTTTCTGAACATATGCTTCTTGGAAGACTTATTTAAAAACCTCATTACTTTGTAGTGCTGTGTCTCAATGGCAATGATTCATTCCTTTCGAAGAAGCATTTCTGACAGTTGTTGATTAATTCTTGGCTTTTAACACCAAACTTTGGCATTTCTTTCAATTTTTTAAAGAAATGGAGACAAAAGCCATGTTTGGTTGACTTACTTTCCCTAAACAACAGGCAAATATTGTTGAACAAACACTTCTTGTTCTATAATTAAGCTTCTGTGACAAACTACAACAAGTGACCAATTCTTTTTTTTTCTGTTAAGTTAAATGAATGGAATTCAGGAGGTTGTTTCCTCTCTTCTGTTATCCATCTGTATGTGTGGTGCCTTCCCTTCCTCTGTATGGCAGCAGCTCATCACCCATGCTAGTTCTAATAGTGCATTCAGCAATTGTCTGTTACAGGACAGTTTTAAAGCTCTTAGACACTTGAAGTGGCAAAGTATACAAGTTAGATTTTTAAAAAGATGACATAACATATTGCCTATTTTTTTACTGTGATATTTTGCTGTGTAATAATAGTCTATTTATCTTGACTGATGTTGTTCTCTCAACACTGAGATTTGCCTGTGTGGTTCCTGATGCTTTGGTCTGATGGAATATATCATAGAATCATATGATTCACCCAGCATTGCTCCCAGACCTTGACAGACAGCACTCCCCATTCTAGCTCAGGTTTGGGATTTGGGAGGCTGTTTCTCTGCCACACATTCTCACCTTCAATCCATAAAGGATTTCATTTGATCTGAATAAAATAGAGCAATTTACTAATTTGAGTGTGCTGTCATTTGTTGAGGAGTGTTGCAGAATGTGATATTTATTTTCTAAGGAATAATCTCCAGCACAGGGTAGCAGGATTCTCATCAAGCACCGACTCCATGAGCTATTCTGCTATACCCAACACATGGACAGGGCAGTTCAGCTGAGAATTAGTCAGCGAAGTGTTGGGCTGATGCTTTGTAAAAATGTCACAGAAGCAGAGCAGAAAGTCCTTAGTGCCTGCAGGCTCCAAACTGCTGTGCTGTCGGATGAGACTGTAAAGATAAATGTGTGAGAGGAGTAAAGGACAGTGAGTGACTGAATGGGATTAGAATACCCAACTGGATTTTCCGATTGTCTGAGTAATCAGAGGAGAGCTAATAGATGGGGATGGACAGGCTTCCCTTCTGCTCACTTGTAGGACTGCAGCATACTGTGAACTGTAACTCTGAAAATGCAGCTTCCTCTTAAAGTTAAGTGAAAAGGCCCTGAAAAGTTTGTACATTAACAACAATCAACACAAGAGTATTTCACTGCCACCAAACTGGGTTCTTTTTTTCCTTTGTCAATGTAGGAAGGAACTTAGAATCCTGGACAGCTTTTATCTACTGTCCTGGAGTTTCTTATGAGTAGCTGAATTTTCTGGCTTGCTTTGCAATGGTGTAGATTTTACTTCTGTCAGACAAGGATCAATCTTTGCATCTGTTGTTATCCTTCTCATCTCTGCTCAAACTGTTGCAGGGCTTGCAGCCATCTGCCTGTTCCTGGTAGGGACCTCCTGTTGCTGCTTTGCAGGGTTCTTCTAGCTCCATGTGGGCTTCTAGTGCTCTTCTAAGTCTTATTAGCAGAGCCCAAATTACTTCATACTCTTTTGTTGACAGTGACCTCTTCTAGCAATGATAAGCATTTGGGAGGAAGGATAACTATTGCTCTAGCCTGCCAGTAACATTTGAAAGTTGCTATCTCTAAAAAAGTACCAAGACAAACAATGTAGAAATGTGAGAATCTTGTGCTAACACTGACTACCTTTCTTCCTTTGGAGTCTTCTCCCCTTTTGTGCTCATTCCATAATCCTTTGCACTTCCAGCCTTAACTGGAATTTGGTTTTGAGGCTCCTTCAAGCACAGATCTCTTGCTGGGAGAAGTTCATGCTGGAGTCAGTTTTGACAGCTCTGCAGAGGGTAACTGGATCTCTGCAGAAATGGCCATGCTGCAGAAGGCAAATAGTGCTAATTGCTGCCATTCTCCTCTTCCTTGCCATATAGATTACAACTGGATGACATAACAGTATCTGTATCATGTTATAAATGGTGAGGAGAGGTAGTTGTGGGCAGAGTGAAGTTACCAGTGGAGATAAATCAGGTTGCTGCTTTCGTTCCCTGTCATACTGGTGATATCAGTGACAGCCAGTCTCTCAAAAAGTGTACTGCAGAGTTTTGATTCTGCCTTCCCTGCATCCTATGTGACAGTAAAATATTTGTCAGTTCCTTTCTATGTCCATGCATATTATTTTCCATTGTAAATAAGTTGTGTGTGGTCATCTCAAATGTGCTGTAATTTGACATAGGCACCCCAACGAGCTCTAAAACCATCATTTTTGATGCACCAAAAGCATGAGCTGTCACTAGTCAGCCTCTCATATGCATTTTTCAAGGCATTTTCATCTCTTCCTGTGATGTGTTTGCCAGAGGCAGTTTAACTTTGGCATCTGGGAAACACTTTACTCTTTAGTGTAGATATTTAGAAAGCTGTCTTGAGGTAAATGAACTGAACCCAGGTACCAATTGCTGTTCTTGATAATACACACTGTTGTATTTTCCAGCATCTTTCATAGTCTGCCACCAAAAGACAGTTTTGCTGCCCCTTGGGCCCCACATCCCTTGCAGTGCATCTGTTGATGATGAAGCCATGTCATGGGTTGGAGAAGCTTGTTTATCTAGTGGGAGTGCTTCCTTGCAAGGAAACGCTTCTAAATTGATCCAGTGAGCTGGGCAAGTAGTTTTGTATGATTGGGTATCAGTCAGGAGGTGTAAGACAAGAGGTAGCATGCCTGTGGAGAGAAGCTAAGAGGACAAGAGACCTCCTGATCAGAGCTGGCCTTTCTGAAGGCATTCAAGGCCAGACTGGATGTGGCTCTGGGCAGCCTGATCTAGTGACTGGGGACCCTGCACATAGCAGGGGGGTTGAAACTAGATAATCTTTGAGGCCCTTTTCAACCCAGACCATTCTATGATTCTATGAATCAGTTTTCTTCGTATGATCACAGACAGAAAGTCTGCTTCTAGTCAAAGCCTGCAATGCTTTGCTGTCCCAGGGTGGTGTCAGTGCTGGGCTGAGCATGCAGGTTGGGCTCGTCCAAGGCTTCAGGTAGGGCAGTATTGAGCCTAGACTTCAGTGAGAGCCTCTCACCAGTGAGACCACTTGTTGACCTTTGGTTTTACCTGAAATAGAGCCAACTGTCTTGTGTGACCCGAGGTATCTGATAGCCCATGTGTTCTGCCAGCTGCTTGTTGGAAATAGCACCGGCTGAATGCTGGCAGCCTGCAGGTTCTTGCACAAGCATTGGGCTGCTGGAAGCTGGAAAATTATGTAATGGGAGTTCACGATGAGAACTTTGTGCTCAGATGCTGGGGTGGTTCTAGGAAGTGCTTTTGGAGAAAGAGCTGTAATGCTTTACGTAAAGCAGAGCCCAGACTGGAGGTGTGAAATTGCAATTTTAACCTTAACGCAGCTTTATCACCTGAAATGGGTGATTTCTTGGCATTCTTTACCCTGTGGGCAGCAGAGAACTTAAGTGTTAGCAGTTCCAGTCTCAGCATAGTTATAGGTTTGAGTATATGTTACTTGTACCTTATTTCTTTATTTTTATTGAAATCCATGGTTACAGCAGTGTTTATACATTCCTGTTCTGAGGTCACTCTGGGAGTGAGATGCTGTGCTCTCTCTAAGACTGAAGTTGCCTGCTTTAGTAACTTAGACCACAGTGTGTACTGCAGGTATGTTTCTTGCTGTGCCTGTGATATAATTCAAAGCCACAACCACATATTTCTGACCATGTGAGTTAATTTTGTGCTGTTTGAGAATGTGGAAAAACTAAATCAGGAGCTGTTGTTGAACAAATTGCACACCTCAACAAGCAAAATCATCTTGGTGCTTTGCAGGCAGCAGAAGAGATGACCTGCATGCACTGGTAATGAGCTTCTAGGGGCTGCTGCAGTATGGTTGCAAACAGCATCAGGAGGTTGGGGTTTTTTGGGAGGGGAAAGGATCAGCAATTCTGTAAGTGGATGCTAGAAGGGCTATAGGCAGGGGTATACCTTCTGTATCTGACTCTGGAAGCTCCTTTTCCTTAGTAAGCCTTACTGTAGGAGTAACAGGCTGTGTTCTGACCCGGTGCCTGTATGTGCTCATCTCTTTCAGACAGATGAATGGCGTCTAAGCTATATCAATAAGGACTTCTCCATCTGCCCTTCCTACCCTCCAGTGGTTATTGTCCCCAGATGCATCGATGATGAAACGCTTCAGAAAGTTGCAGTGTATCGCCATGGAGGTCGCTTCCCAGTCCTCAGCTATTATCATAAGAAGAATGGCATGGTAAGCTGCATTTGGTTAGTTGGTTGTACTTGAAAGAAGTATATAAACCTGCTCAGATCTCTTCAGCCTTCTTTAATGACAAACAACTTGTGCTCTAGACTTAATCCAGTTCATGAGACATTCTCTCATATTATTTTCCGACTTATTTTTAAGCTTCGAAACTGCTTCTGGGTGATGGAATGAGTAACCTCCATCTAGAAATAGCTATTAATATGCTTGTTTGGGCACATACACGGCATGAGCTTGTCTCATCTTGCCCTTAGTGCTGTGAGCTTGTAAAGCCACGATTGGCACCCTAACTTGCTTTATCTGCCAAGAGGCTTCGTACTGAAAGGATGGCAGAAACCACATTGTCCTGTCTCTGGGTGATAGGCTGCCTCCTTCACAGTGGAATTGTGGTGACAGCAAGTGTGCACAGAGCCAGCACTGCTTCTGCTGTGTAACTGTTGGTTGAGTGATCAGAACAATCTGTTCTCCAAGCCTTTCAATATAACATGTTTCAGGAGCAGCAAAATCCTGCTGTTGCACAGACTCCAGGAACTGATATGTTATAATTATATGTACTTCATGAAATCATTGAGTAATTCCCTGTATCTTGCTGATGTAGTCAGTTCTGAGGATGTGAAATGCCCAGCTTGCATCTTTGATCCAGGTTCCTGGGTCAGATGCTGTATTCTCACTTCCCATAGACAAGATTTGTAAGGACACCTAATCTAATCCAGCAGTACTCTACTTTTGTGTTTGTTTTTTTTTCCCTCCAGTTTCCTAAGCCATGCATTCAACTCTTTCTCTGCTTGGGTGAAAGCTGTTGAAAGAAGATTTGTTCAGTCACCCATCTGAATTGTGCATATTTCAGGTGTGAGGAATGTAACAGCATTTGTCTCAGTGAGTGAACTTGTGACAGTAATGCTGTCTGTCGTGTTGCTCTCTTGGCTCTCAGTACAGCTGGGGGTGCTGATTGGCTGCCCTCACCTCTTGAATGCTTCAGCTGTTGGTATGCAGCAGAGCTTTAGTTTGAAAGGCAATTATGAAAGAAAAATCTCAGCTAATTGATCTTTAGAACTAGGGCTTATTAATGTAGCTGCTGAGTAGAGCTATACCTAATTTATCTGCATCTTTAGCACCTGGATGACTCGAGTGACACACAGATTTGGAAAGAGACTTTTAAAATGATGATCCTAAAAACAGTGGTTTGTGAAGGAATCGTCAGCAGGAGTTTGTGAAGATGGCCCTGCTATAACAATTAAAGGGATTAGGTCTCTGAGAAGTCTAATGTAAGAGGTGCTCTGCCAAATGATTGCACGACTTTTGAATAAGCTCAGTCTCTGCACTTGAAAGAATGGAAGATTCAGGGCAAGGGGAACAGGAGGAACCAGAGAAACATGGGACAGTGTTTTTGTGCATCAAATAGTGCAGACAAGCACATTTTTCTGATTGTCCTGATGTGGTGGATCAAACATGAAGCAGATATAAGAAGTGCAACGGGATGAGAGACGTGTTTGAATCATAGAATGGCCAGGGTTGAAAAGGACCACAGTGCTCATCCAGTTCCAACCCCTGCTGTGTGCAGGTCACCAACCAGCAGACCAGGCTGCCCAGAGCCACATCCAGCCTGGCCTTGAATGCCTGCAGGAATGGGGCATCCACAACCTCCTTGGGCAACCTGTTCCAGTGCCTTACCACCCTCTGGGTGAAAAACTTCCTCCTAAGATCTAACCTAAACCTCACCTGTCTCAGTTTAAAACCATTCCCCTTGTCCTGTCACTAGCCACCTTGTAAACAGCTGTTCCCCCTCCTGTTTATACACTCTTCTCAAATATTGGAAGGACACCACAAAAAAACTGCAGATCTGGGAGTGCTCCATTTGCATTTTCCTCTCTGAGCAGATATGTAAGAAGCTCCTTAAGGTTGAGAGTCTTAAGACTCTGTTTTCTGATTTGGGATTACTTGTTTCCACAGGTCATGATGCGAAGCAGCCAGCCTCTGACAGGTACAAATGGGAGACGCTGTAAAGAAGATGAGAAGCTTGTTAATGCCACTCTTCGTCCTGGGAAGCGTGGGTACATCATTGACACGAGGTCCCTGAATGCTGCCCAGCAGGCCAGGGCCAAAGGAGGAGGCTTTGAACAAGAAGTGTATTATCCCCAGTGGAGGAGGATTCACAGGTGCATTGAGAGGTGGGTGAGATCACACAGGGCTTTGTAGGGTTGTGTTAGCAGAGCCACGCCAGCTCCATGGAAGAATTGTCTTCTGTAAGACATGGCCATGCATCTTGATTGTTGTCAACAGGATTGCATTCTAGCAAAATGAAGGGTTTTGGCTTTGCTGCTGCTGCAGGTTTCAGATATTTTGCAATCTCCCTGTGCCATCTATGTTTCTAACTATCAGTAGTTGCAATCCAGCTTTCCTCTTTGCAGTGCACAGGAATGAGGAAGTCCTTTGCTAGAGAATTGCTACAGGTGAGGACTTGAGCGTGGCTGTCACAGCTTTGTATCTGGTACTTTTCTCTGGAAATTTAATATTTTATTGGCTACATGGAGACAAGTTGCTGGATTAAACAGACCTTTTATCTGACTTTGTTCAAGGCTTTGTCCTAAGCCTTGCTTTTGGGGAGTCTTTCTATATGGGCATGCAGTAATGTTGCTGGATCTGTTGGAAGTCAGTTACTCTTCTTACTTGCTGTGTAGGCTAGCTTCTGAGGAGCTAATAGAAGGATTTTCCTATCCTCTGCTTTGAATTGTTAGGCTTTGCTTCTCAAAACCATATGGAATTGAGCTTGACGTTGGTTACTTTGCAGGTGGATGGTAGGCATCAGGTTTATTCATTCCTCCCTCTGCGTTTCTTGTAAGGTTTTTTTAAGCTTTTTGAGGTCTAGTCTACTGGCTGCATCCTTTGTTACCCTGAGCACGTGCTGGAGTCAGTGTGAAGTGACATCTGATCCATTTGTAGTTTGATGCCTCTGGATGGCATGTTGTGATGTAGGGTCGGAGAAGCAGCTCACTTTACCACTGCATGCAGATTGCCAGCTTTCCAGATCTTGAGGATGCACTACAACAACTGCAAAAGTGGAACAAAATGCATTCCCTCTCCCTATCCTTCTACCTTATTAACTTAGCCAAACTAATCTTTGTGTGGTCCTACACTGCGAAGCTGAGTCTAGCTTAGAGTTGTGTGTCGCAATGGGAATTATGTGATGAATGGTTTTTGGGTTACTGTGGCAGCTCTGCAGGTTAAAGCAGCTAGTGTAATAGGAAACAAAACACTTGAAGCTTGGCTCACGCTTGCTAATGTCCATGCCAGACTGCAGTAACACGTGTATTTGATAACAGGACTAAGGCTGCTGAAGCACTTTGCATATAAAGTGTAGGTATGGCTGAATGCAGGCAGAGCTCAGATCTGAGCTCTGTTGTAATACCCCATGAGGCAATTTGTTTTGAAATGGAAGAGACAACTTCTGTCCAGAGAGTGGTGTTCTGCTGGCATCTAGCCATAGCTTGGGATTCCTGGTGAAAGCGGGCTCTGAATGATGACATGACATCTCTGGGGTCATCCTTCCTTGTGTAACTATGCATAACTCTCAGTGCTTCATTTTGGTGTCAGTATTTCTGAGATCAATATGTATCTTGTCTGTTTTTCTGCATTACTGCTAATATTTTCAATATTTTGCTCTTCCCAAAGGTTTAATATTCTGCAGGAAAGCCTCATCAAACTTGTAGAAGCTTGCAATGACCAGTCACACAACATGGACCGCTGGCTCAGTAAACTGGAAGCTTCCAACTGGATGACTTACATCAAGGAGATACTTACTGCAGCTTGCCTAGCTGCTCAGTGTATTGATAGGTAAAGCTTTGTATTTGTTATTCAAAGAGCCTGAGGTTTCTCATTCACTGGTTAGATTAATTGTTAAATACATTTATTTCCTGTTTAGGTGTTAGTACTTAACTGGCCACCATGAACTAGCTTGCTTGCACTTTTAATGCACAGCACTGTTTCCTCCTCGTAGTTAAAGAATATTCCTTTAGTACCTCATGTTTGCATTTGAGTACAAGCCTGAGGGAGGAAATGTTGACTGAGGGTGGGTATTATCTCACCTAGATGAGATCTATTCCTGTGTCTGCTTCCACCGCTCTGACAAAGTTGGTTTTACTGGAGTTCTAAAATATTTTTTCAACTGAAAGCTTCCAGTACCCCAGGTCACTTTCAGGCTGCTGAAATAGATTTCTTTATTATTCCCCTAGGAATTGGTCCATTGCAAAGAGCTCTCAATCTTTATCCCCATAGTCTATCTGAGCAATCTTGCTCATTCATTATAAGTGTTTGTGACCTCTTCTAACCTAACATTTCTTTAATAAATGCTCCTAACTTGACTAACTTGTCCTCAAGCTTGAGAGAGAAGTTTAATGTCAGGTGTCAGGATTTAAGACCAAATGTAGGGGTGTAAATGCAGTCTTTTTGTGGCCCTGGAAGGAAAAGGCCTTTCTCAAAGCTGAAGAACCCCTTGCTTTTCATAGCAGCTGGGGAACATTACACAGCTAAACAAGCAAAGCTGAAATGCAGTCTTGTTGGTAGAATAGCATTACTGCATTGAAATATGAGCTACTGTGCTTTCTAAAAGCACTGATGGTATCTGTTTAGTTATAGGCTGTGCCAGGAAAGGATGGCTCTCAAATCAATGGTTTTATCTGTAATTCTTTCCCCTTGTGTACACTGAGAAAAATCAGTGATGAAACTCCTTTGGCTTCTTGGGAGAGCAGATGGTTTTGCCATTTTTAACCTCTCCTTTTTTCTGTTTACCTGGAGTTCTGACATGCCAGCACCAATCTGATGCCTTTCCTGCCTCGCTCAGAGCCTGGTGATAGCAGCTTAGCTGATAAAAGTGGCTCAGTTATGTTGGCCCCAGGGAGGGAATGGCTGGAACATGTTTCTGGGGCAAAAAAGATGAAATGTAAAACTGTTATCCCCATGTGCTTCACTTTGATGAGAGCATAGGCTTGGTGATTGACTTCTGCAGTTGTGCTTGGCAGTAAAGGGGCCTCTGCTGCTGTCTGAGGGAGGAGCAGAGAAAATATCTGAAGATCATCTGAACTGTTGAAGCACTGGGTTTATTTTAGGTTTAGGACTGTAAACAAAGATGTTGCAGTGTTTAAGCTATGGATTTATTACTGCTTTTCAATTAAAAAACATCTATCTGCAGGGTTACTTGCTTCTCAGATGGAGCTGTTTTACCCAGGCTTTGCTGCTAAACTTGGGTATCTGCACAGAAACAAATATAGCCTGCAGTGAATCTCCTTTCTATGTAATGATGTTAGCAGAATTGAGACATCAGTTCAAGGTCTGGGAGGAGTAAGGGGTATAAATGCCATTTAATACCATCCAGTCTTTCCTTCATGAGTACTTAAATTAGATTCTGGAAGCATATCTAAATGTGGCCTAGGATGGAGGAAGAGGGGAGGGAATCAGCTGTCCTGGGGTGTGAGTCATGTGAGCCCCTAGCAGTGTGCAAGACCTTCCTGTCCCAGACTGCCACGTGTTTTGCTCCCCACGTTCTGCTGCTTCACCTGTGCTGGCTGATGAGCAGGAAGCTTTTGTTCTTGGCTCTTAGACAAGCTTTCTTGCTCAGGATAAACAATTTGTCTCCCTTTCTGGAGATCAAGCTCTGCCTTTCTTCCTTCTTCCTCCTGAACTGGCTGGCTTCTCTTTCACTAAACACCAGTTAAGGTGCAGGTGTGAGCAAGAATCTCACAGTACTGTTTTACAGAACATTTGGAAAGATGATCCATCTTCAGAGGGTACGGGAGCATTTCAGAGTACTTATCAAAACCATAAATGATGAGCAAAGTCTGATGGGTTGGCATCCACTGGGGTGTGTTCATGGGATGTGTTCTGCTCATTCATACTGTTATTCCCTTCCATCTTTCTCACAGGGAAGGCGCATCAGTGTTGGTTCATGGGACTGAAGGAACTGATTCAACACTCCAGGTAACTTCTCTGGCACAGATTATCTTGGATCCAGACTGCAGGACCATAAAAGGCTTTGAATCTCTTCTCGTCAGGGAGTGGCTACAGGTAAGTCTGGTGGATAAAATGTCAATCTGTTCTCTTGGCATTTGCATTGGGAAATGGCTTGAGAGGCAGTAAACAGGTTACACCTAAGTATACATGTGTGAACAAACAGTCGTCCTTGTCTGAAGAAGCAGAATCACAGAATTGCCAGGGTTGGAAGGGACCTCAAGGATCATGAATCTTCAAGCCCCTGCCACAGACAGGGCCACCAACATCCACATTTAATACCAGGCCAACTGCCTGGGGTCCCATCCAACCTGGCCTTGAACACCTCCAGGGATGGACGGGGCATCCACAGCCTCTCTGGTCAGCTGTTCCAGCACCTCACCACTCTCATAGCAAAGAACTTCCCCCTGACATCCAACCTAAATCTTCCCTGGCTCAACTCCAAACCATTTCCCCTTGTCCTGCCATTATCTACCCTTTCCAAGAGTTGACTCCCCTCCTGTTTGTAGGCTCCAATTAGGTACTGAAAGGTTGCAATGAAGTCACCACCTCCAGGCTGAACAAGCCCAGCTCCCTCAGCCTGTCTTCATAGTGAAGGTGCTCCAATCCTCAGATCATCTTCGTGGCCCTATTCTGGACCCTCTCCAACAGCTCTCTGTCCTTCTTTTACTGGGAGCTCCAGACCTAGACACAGTACTGCAGATGGGGCCTCACAAGAGCAGAATAGAGGGAGACATTCACCTCCCTGTCCCTGCTGGCCACCCCTCTTCTGGTGGAGCCCAGGATACCATTTGCTTTCTGAGCTGCAAGATTACACTGCTGGCTCATGTTCAGCTTTTCATCCATCAAGACCCCCAGGTCCTTCTCCACAGGGCTGCTCTCAA